TTTTTTTTTGTACAAGTTCTCAAACTCCAAAGTGTGTTTTATACTTAAAACACCACTCTGTTCAGGTGCTCATTTCAAATTTCAAATGCTAATAGTCACATGGTATTGAAAGCTACTATATTGGACAGTACAGCCTTAAAACATAAAAATCCAAATTTCTGAATACACTTTACAAAGTCCCCCACGCCTTCCTGGCCTCGCCGTCTACACTCCCCGCACAGGACCTCCCGCTCTTTGCTCTAGCTTGTTACTGCTGCTCCTAGACTCTTTCACACTCTGTGACTGTTGCTTCTTCCTGGCATGTTCCTTATCAGGGTGTGCCGCTCCCACTTCCATCAGCCCTCTTTGCCACTCAACTACTCTCGTAGTGCCACCTCATTTGTTGAGTGCTCTCCTTATATTATCTTACAACTCTCTTACAGCATTTATACTATTCCCGTATATACCCTTTGGAAACTTATTTTTATTGACATATAAACAGTAAAGTACACAAATCTTAGTATACAGGTTGATGAGTTTTCTAAATCTATACACCAATGTAACACCCAGGTCAAAATATAAGACATTTACAGCACACCAGCCGATTTACGCCACCTCCCAGTCAGCCCCTCCTCCAAAAATAATAGTATTCTTACCTCTATCACCATAAATTCCTTTGCCTGGTTTTGAACTTCATATAAATGGACTTATGTAGTATATACTTCTGTCTGTATATGGCTTCTTTTGTTTTTTTGAGACAGAGTCTTGCTTAGTCACCCGGGCTGGAGTGCAGTGGTATGATCTTGGCTCACTGCAGCCTCTACCTTCCAGGCTCACACCATTCTCCTGCCTCAGCCTCCCGAGTAGCTGGGACTACAGGTGCCCACCACCACGCCCGGCTAATTTTTTTTTGTATTTTAGTGGAGGCAGGGTTTCACCATGTTAGCCAGGATGGTCTTGATCTCCTAACCTTGTGATCCACCCGCCTCGGCCTCCCGAAGTGCTGGGATTACAGGCGTGAGCCACCGGGCCTGGCATGGCTTCTTTCTTTCAAGATTATGTCTGTAAGATTCATCCATGTTACTAACATGTAGCAGTAGTTGGTTCTTTTCATTGCCGTATAATACTCCATTATGTAAATATGCCAATCAATTCTACTGGCTTATTTACTTCATGACGTTTAGATAAACTGGGTTGTTACCGGTTGAGGGCATTATGAATAAGCTTCTAGAGACTCTTTCTAAAAAAATGTTTGCCAACTAACAAATTATAGTTGTATATATTTATAGGGTACAATGTAATGTTATGATTTATGAATACAATGTGGAATAATAAACGCAAGCTAATTAACATATCCATCACCTCAAATACTTACATTTTGTGATAAGAACATGTGTACATTCTTATGTGCATCTATTGGTAGACATAAACACTCATTTCTGTTGGGTATGTACCAAGGAGTAGAATTGCTGGATCATAGGGTGGGCACATGTTTAGATTTAGTAGATAATAACAAGTAGTTTTCCAAAGTGGTTGTAATGATTGATATTCCCACTAGCAATATCTAAGAGTTCCAGTTGCTTGGCATTCTTGCCAATACTTGACATTGGCAGTCCTTTTAATTTAGCCATTCTGGTAGATATATCGTGGTATCTCAGTGTTATTTTAATTTGCATTTTTTTGGTGACTAAAGATATTGAGCGCTTTTTCATAAGTTGATGGCATTGGATGGCCTATTTTGAGAAGTACCTTTTCAAGCCTTTTGACCAATTTTTATTTGTCCTTTTCTTAGTGGTTTGTAGGAATTATTTATATAGAGTGGAAGGAAGAATACCTGTGAGATACAGATACCACAGATCTCCTCTCCTATTCTGTGGCTTGCCTTTTCATTCTTTCAGTCTTGTGATGAATAGAAGTTCCTAATTTTAATGAAGCCTAATTTATTGACTTTTCTTCTGTGATTTGTCTATTGTGTTTCCAAAACACAATAGATAAATCACAGAATTAGTATTCTGTTTTGAAAATCATGTTATGTCTTAACCTGCAGAAGAGATTCTCTGGTTTTTTTTTTTTGTAGACATTTTATTTCTTTACCTTTTACGTTTAGGTATAAGATTTATTTAATACTAATTTTGGTGTATTATGTGAGATAGATCAAAATTTTTTTT